CCTTTAAATTCTGACAATTGACGAAGATCAGATTTTTAAATTCTGACAGTCTTTGTCTAATCAAAGTGGTTTAACTTGACTTCAGAGAAAATGCATCTGTTCAAGCCACAACTCACACAGTGATACGACAAACTAACATGAAGACCAAGGAGCTTTCCAAATAAGTCAGGGATAAAGTGGTAGAGAAGCACATATCAGGAGAAGGTTGCAAGAAAATTTCAAAGTCGCTGATTATCCCTTTGAGTACAGTGAAGTCCATCATTAAGAAGTAGAATGTGCTTCATACCACCCAGTCACTTCCCAGATCAGGCCGCCCTTCCAAACTAAGCAGCCAGGCAAGCAGAAAACTGTGTAGCTAACAGTGACTTTGAAAGATTTGCAAAGCTCCACGTCCAAGATGGGAGTAAGTGATCATACATTGACAATATCCCGGTCGCTACACACAGCTGGTCTGTATGGGCAAGTGGCAAGAAACAAGCCATTACTGAAAAAGAATCATCTGCAACAAAGCATGTAAATGATATCACAGACATGTGGCAGAAGGTTTTGTGGTAAGACAAGACAAAAATTGAGTTTTTTTGGTCTAAATTCAAAGCGTTACATCTGGCACAAGCCCAATACAGCACATCACCCAGTCAACATCATCCAAACTGTCAAGCATGGTGGTGGCAGCATCATGTTATGGGGGACTAGGAAACATGTCAGGATTGAGGGGAAGATGGATATTGCAAAGTACCGGCAATTCCTAGAGGAAAACCTGCTTGAGTCAGCCAAGAATCTGAAACTGGATCAAAAATTCACATTTCAGCAGGACAATGGCCAAGAACACAAGGCCAAAGCCACACTGGGGTTGTTTCAAAAGAAGAAAGTGAATGTCCTAGAGTGGCCCAGTCAAAGTCCTGACTTGAATCCAATGGAAAATTTATGGTGAGACTTGAATATTGCAGTGCATCAATGATGCCCAACAAACTTGTCAGAATTGGAGCAATTTTACCAGGAAGAATGGGCAAAAATAACACCATCCCACTGTGCAAAGCTGGTAGAGACCTATCGAAAAAGAATCACAGCAGTAATTGCTGCCAAAGGTGGTTCCATCAAGTACTGACTTAGGGAGCTGAATACTTATGCAATCAGCAAATTTCAATTTATACATTTTCTTTGCAGGTTTTGTAGACATTCAACCTCCTTCACACATAACAGTGTTAAGTTTGATCATTAGTTTTGAATAAAAACTTTTTTTAAGTTACTTGTATTTCCTCAAAATGTGACATCATTGGTTGGGGATGAATACTTTTTCAAGACGCTATAACTTATTTTTTTCCTCTCACATTTAACAAAGTTTGACAAAACTAACATATTAGATAACTAAAGTATATTTTTCTTCAGCACCATAAAGACAATTGTGAGTAAATGTCTGCTTAATGAAAGCAAAAAAGGAATTAACTAAAAATAGCAAAGACCAAATAAATAGTCTAATAGATACAAGTTACTGTAAAAAATTTTTAAAGATACACTATTACATCATATTCATTCATTTTAAAATAAAAAAAGTACTGATAGGCTTGGAAACTAAAAAAATATATATACAAGGACGTTTTTAACATCTGTTTTGAGGACACAAATGTGCATTACAAAAACTTACCCTTCTTACTACTAATGTTCTATCAGTACTATCTTCTTCACCTGGTATAGGAGGTAGGGGTCTATTTGGTGCTTGAATTATTATAGGTTCTGAAAGTAAGTACACTTTTCAGATTTATCAGCTATCTTAAAACAAGTTTTGTCTATTCTTTCTTGCATTTGCTATTGAACAAATAAATGGACAATGCACATATAAACACTGTAACATAATACTGAAAACATTCTAGTTGGTGAACCAAACACTTGCTTATATTAGCAGATATACTGATTTAATTAAGTCAATTTATACGTAGACTTCCAAAAATAATACTTTAAAAAATTCCTTAAAATTTATATAATTACCATTTTAAATTATCAAAAATAAATAAACCGAAGTAAGATAGATATATCTTATTTAGCGAATGAATTAGTTTTCAATTATACTAGCAAACACACTTTTATATATATCTTCCAATATAAGGTTTCATGTTCTCCAGCTTAATATAAAGATAGTTTTTTTTTCAATCTTTTGGTGGTATAAGTTCTATATGAAAACTGTCATTAGCTTGAATTAAACAGAAAAACCTATCATTCCTTAAGAGCTGGAGTTTTTAATAAAATAATATTTCTCCCCAGCCAAAGTATTTTCATATCATGGTATTACAAAAAACGTGTATAATAGCATTAACATTACCAAGTCTTTAAAAAATAAAAGTTTGAGGAAGTGAGTATAAAAAAACTAAAACCAAATAACCATCCACTACTACAGACACATGGAGTTCTGTTATTTCACATTATCATAAAGTTAACTGAGTATGTGAGAACTGAGACTATTTGAACTGTATTTCTCAGCTGATCATGGTATGGATTTTATTATACTTAATACGAGCCTATATTTTAATATTACAACTTTACATCAGAAACAATAAATAAACCTATATGCAACTCAAATATGTTATCTGTAAGGACAGAGTCCTTTATTTTTATTCATGTTAATTATATTTAGCCTTAGCTGAAACAGCCAAACAAGCAACATTCTATACAGAAACCAAGTAACTATAGTTAAAGCTAACTACCTGATAAACTGTTAAGAGTTTGTGAAAAAAAACTTCATACTGAAGAATTCTGAAATGTATTTCATTTGTAACTGAGCTTAAAATATTTTAATACAATTATCCCATATATTTATTGTATAGTTCTTTACATTCAGCAATCTTGATCTTCAATAATAAGATTTTGATTAAATTTCATGAACTACAATAAAAGTTAATGTATAGTATGTTCCATTTAGGTTCAAAACCTAAAATTCAATTCATTTATTCATCACTTTATAGATATATTAATAGCCTGTTATTCATTTATGTATTAATCCACAATTTGTACATTTGCTAATCAATAACATATTAATAATTTAGTTATTAACAGATTCAAATTAAATACACTTGGCTTTGCACCTTCACCATTTCTGATCAAACTGACACTAGTTTTAAAATTGTAATAAACCAAGAAGTAAAACATTTCAATTATTTTATTAAATTCTCAAAAGTTTGGTCTGATTTGATGAATCCTATACAAAAAAAAATCTTAAATAATACATGAATTACAAAAGAAAAATGTTTACAAGGTATAATTAAGGTAAAAACTATTTCCAGTTGTATTAAAGCTATAAGAAAGTTTAAAAGGTAGGAATTAACGAAAATGTTCTACTACTGGTGACTTCACAGTTTGTATTTACTAAAATACTTAACTAAGTTGTCTTCTTTTATCTACACTTAGTGGTTAGTAAATTACATTCTAAACTTTTCTATGACAAGGAAACCACTCTTTATAAAATAAAGTTTGGAGATGGCTTGAATGGGTAGCAAAAGAAACTTTATTACAAATGTAAAATGATATAACAAGCTTGTGGCAGATACATAGCCTGGGCTCGCACATATTACATAACATCTGCAGGTTCCATTTTTAAAGATGCCTTTAATTTCAGAAACACATTAAACCGACTAAACCCTAAAGCTTTAATGGCTAGCTTTGATTTTTGTGTACCCTTTCACTAAAGTACCTATCATGAAAGCTTGTAATATTGCACATGACCTCTACTGTAATGACCCTAATCCTTTAATTCACATCCCCAGTACACTTTTTGTTTCCCTCTTAGAATTAACAACAACTTTATTTTCAATCACAAAAACTTTCTTCAAATAAATGGCTTAAACATGATCTACCTTTCCTCACCTGTTCTTGCCAACATACTTCTGACTCGGATCTAAACACAAGCCATACAATCTGCACTTTATCCTCCCCTATACTGGTACAGATATTTTAATGACACCTTTGCTGGTTTCACTTTTACCAAATACACACAATTTTTCTTTGAAAACATAAACTCCATTCACCCTAACATTAAATTCACCATAGAACATGAAAATGACAAGCAATTATAATTTTTTTAACGTTGAAATTATTAGATCCAACACACAGTTGAAAACCAAAATTCACTGAAAAATCACTCGCACAGGCCTTTTACTCCCTGGAATTCCACCCATGAATCCAAACAAAAAATCATTATACTAAAAAAACCTTATAAACACAGGTACAAAACTTTGCTCAACTGACTTTGTAGATGAAAAAAATCAAATTTATAAAGTATTTCTTCATTCACATCAACAAATTCCAACCAACTACTAACTAAAGATTTTCACATAACCACCAGAACAAACACCTCAACATTCAACTCACAAACAACACAACATTACACTGCAGTTTACCATTCATCCCTGAAGTCAGTTCCATAACAATTCACACTTGGAGAAAACTTGCCAGTAAACATAAAATTCTTGTCAATTTCAAATTCACTCAAAAATCCAGTCCTAAACTAAAATCATTACTAAGTAAAAATTAAGTAGAATCAAACAATACTAACGTCATTTATAAAATAATGTGCAATAGCTATCCAGAATTCTACATCTGAGAAACTGGAAGAAAATTGGAAACCAGATTCACTAAACATGATAAAAAACCCTCTCATGTTTACCACAAATGCAACCTCAAAAAATCACAGTATATCTATACAAAACACTAATTTTAAACAAAGAACCAAACACCAACAAACACAAAATAAAGGAAGCCATCTTAGTTGAACAAAACAGCCCTACTCTAAACCAACACCTTATACGTTTACTAAGCTGTTAAGCAATCTCTGGCCATTTGACTTCCTTGTTCCATACTGTATGTATGTATGTATGTGTATATATATTCCTGTGTCTACATAAACTACTTGTACCTGATGATGACACAAGCTTGTCAAAATGTTGTTCTATCACTACCCATTCAAGCCAAATTTTATATTCTTAACTTTTACTTGCTATTCATGACTTGTTCATAATGGTTAGTGAACAAAACACAAAATAACCAAGCTGAAGATACATTAATAGTCTAAGTCATTCCATTTCTTTCAGGAGTCTCTTAAATATACGTATTTAGTGTGATGCATTTATTCTGAATTGAATTCTAGACATACAATCTTATTTCTTAAATTTCAGTATTTATACAAGTATAAATACAAAACATATCACCAATGCAGCCAGATGAGGAAAATGATTATAATGTTTTGATACACCAGTAGATGTTTCTGTTGTTATTAGTAAAGTACATATAATCTATCAATAAACAGTTATACTGTAGAACATACTTTAGATTGTAAAAAAAAAAATACCTTTAGTAGCTGCAATGTTTTTACTGCTGTCCTTATTGTATACATCAGGAGGCCTAGAAGAAAAAAAACATTACTGTATCTATCATGTAGTTTAAGAAATAAACAGCAATAATAAAATGTTCTCAGACTCTTCATAAATTAATTTTGTTTCAAAAATCCTATCACAAACACATAAATAATTTTGAATTCACACCATTTCAAAAAGACATCTTCTAAACCATGTGGAGTGTGTATATTTCTGTGTAATTGATCTAAATAACATCTATTAGTTAGGTGTAATACAGGGATTGATATTTTCAACAGTACCTTATGCATACATGGGCTGAACAACAAGGTCACAAACCCACAATATTCAAGTATAGTCATCACTAAGTATAAACTACTAACCAAAGGAAGGATAGCCAGTCAGTAGCACCTACTACCACAAAGGCTACACCCAGCTCAGCATCAAGTAATGAGATCAACTGCCATTCTAATAATGCATCTACGGCTGAATATGCAGAGCATATTCATGTAGCATCATGGCATAAACCGGGTCTAATATAAACTCAAGTACTAATATAAAATATACCAATAGAATGTTATGACAAAATCAACATTGAAACTGGCAAAAATATATAAATAAGTAGCCTGAAAAAAAGGAACAGTATGTCGTGACTATGTTTGTCAGGAAAACTGATGGTAAAGGAATAAAAAATGTTCAGTCATACTTATTTAGTCTTTTAAGGTGACACAAAAAACTAATAATAAATGTGCATGTTTTATCAATGTAATACTACAAAACAACCTCAGCAAGTCCTATTTAATTTCATATTGAATTTCTAACAGTAAAATGGACATTAAAATTGATACATATGACAATTATACAAAAGTACTAAAAATGTATTGAATTTTTTGACACATAATTTGTTTAATCTGCCTGTAACCAAAAGTGATTGTATTTTGTAGCCATTATCACTACAGTTAAGGTGTTAAAAATTCTAAATGATTTTCTGATTAATATTTCCCATATTCAATAATAATAAAACATATTTTGATAGTGCATTTGGAAAATTTGGAAAAGTTTAGTATGTTCTTGTTATACATATATACTTGAGAGCTTGGGCAGTGACAAATAAGTAGGATAAATGTTAACACTTATTACTAGAATCAAAGAATTTAAATTGAAACATACAGAGGTCTTGGTGGATCAGAAGCCAGCAAAGTTCCATCATTTAGCAAATTCCCTTCTTCTTCTTCATCAGATTCTAGAGTCAGTTTAACAGGTGTGTTGCCATTCTGGCAAGCAGAATGCTCACTGTTCACTACTGCTGATCCTCTACTGCTACTGTTTTTGCTAAGAGCACCACTACTGCTCTGCCCACAAGCTAGTTCATTCAACTGAGCTGCTATCACTTCTAAATCCTAATATAACAAATCATTTATCTGAGATACTAGCACATCTAGATCCTGGAAAAAATAATAAAATTAGTCCAGCTCATACAGGTTAAGATTTTGTGTTTCTAGATGGTAAGTTAAGAAGCTCAAAGCTGCAAAAGGCCACACTTTTTAACAAACTGTTAACACATTAACATTTTAAATGGACAAATTAAGCTAATTATGCTTTAAGTACTTCAAAACACTAAAAGGAGATATGCTAGATATCAGCATATTTTCCTGCTGGCATATTTACATTGTGAAAGAAAGTATCAAACATTTAATATTTAACTTATAACTAATATTGTTCAAATTAAAATTCTAAGTGTACTATAGCTGCAATGAGTTATTTTATACTTTATATACTCTACAAAAAAAAAAATTATGTTCAGGAAATAGTATGTAGTAAATATGTTATTGTTCAAAGGGTACTACCATAATAACCTTAACACATACATTAAGCCTTGTTCATCGTCAAATGTTTTTAATTTTTGTATACATGATTGAAAAACAGTGACCTTTTCAAACTTTTTTTTAGTAACAACTGGAAATGTTATTAACAGTTTAATATCACCATCCTTCTTTACTGAGATATAAAAATAATACTTAGTCTACACAGATACATGATACTATCCAGCATGGTATAGAAAAACTATAATGACAATCTTACCTCTGGTCTACACATAGGAGATTTGTTACACAATCCTGTGACTCGAGGATCTGGCACTCTTGGAGACTGAACAGGCTCTACATTGCGTGAGGTTTTACGAACTTTTTCTTTACACTCTTCATCCACTGGAATTGGAGGAAGTGGTTTACTTGGAGGTGGAGGATCAGGAACCACTACAGACAGAAACAGAAAAACACTTGCTTACTATAAATTACCTAAAGAGATGTTTTTAGACACTGAAAATGACTATAGTTTTAATTAATACCAAGTACACAATAACCATAATACATACACTAATTTAAAACCCTTAAGGTAATATGTTTTCTGCCTTAACTTTAACAATACACGAAAATTTCTAGTTGTATTAATAATAAAATACACTCTTTTACCAAATTGCACTCACTTTAGTAACTCTTTCCTTTATTTTTAGAATTTAATTTCAAACAAGCTATTTTAAAATAAAATTTACTTAACCACCATAAACTACATAACTAAAAATTGTTGAAACCATCTGACAGAAAATAATAGTTGATGAAGTCAACACTAGGGAATAAATTAATATGTTAAAAAGAAATAAAAATGCTTCTCTTTACCTACTGTTCTCATAGGAGGGCGTGGTTTTTCTGGGATTGAGGATACATTTTGGTTGCTAGGTCTAGGATCACTGGGAGTCAATGTTTTTGACTCCTGAAGCTGCTGAAAGTTTCGCTTTAGTGTTGATTCTAAATCAACTGGTTCAATAGAACTGCAGAAGAAAAATATTTTGAAATATGATTTCTTCAATGCAGTAATAAACACCTGTGTTACAATACAAAAACAACAGTAGCTTATAACTGATATTGTTCAATAAAATTACAGAAGACAGATAAGGAAACTGTTATTACTATGTTCTAACTTGCCTCTCTATACAGATACCACTTTAAAAAAATATTTTTTGTACAACCAAGCATGCCATAAAAATTGCTTGATGGAAGTGCTACTTTTGCATTGAGAATTGAATTGTTTTTCTTTTCATGCAAGTTAAAAAAAGTGATGGTGTTCTTAGCTTTTTCCATAAAAACTTCAAAATTAAAAAAATAAACATGTATCCTACTTTTGGGTTAATAATAATTTTTAGAAATTTTTCCTCTTTAGTGAAATATAGCAATTAGATGTAACATACTTGAAAACAAAGTACTAAAATAAAAAAAAAAACACGATTTAATTACTTTCAGTACCTTTGAAACCATTTCAAAAAACTCTTTAATGGTCCCTAAAATCAATGTCATAGATTTTGTTGTCAATGCATTCCAATTTTTTATTAATTTATGTAAAGACAAATAATTACATTTACAAATATTAGAATACTTTTTATTGAACTTATTTTGCACTGTCACTTTCACTTTGTAAAGCTAAACTTTGTAAAAAATGAGTTAAGTTGTTTTAATATTTCAACTATTTCTACACATTATTCTTTTCCTTACACAACTGCAGAACTTACTTCCTATAACACATTTTAACACACAAATAAAAACTACAATATATTTCAATGGTTCGTAGTTTAATATTTTTACAAAATTTTTATGTACACAGAACTATTAAAATATGGTATCATAATACTTGATCATGTACATTTTTGCACTATTTTTAATACAAAATTTTGCAATTTGTTTATATTATTGTTGATTGGTATTAATTTAATTTTGCATAGATTTAAAAAATTAATTAATGAAGACATGTTACAGATTTGTGTTTTACAAAACAACTAAGAAGGTCAATTTTCTTTATTTTTTTAATAAGTTTACACCCTGCTTTCCAAGGCTTTTGTGGTAAACCAGTTGACAGCTGTCTCTGTTTAACCCACTCGCCTTTACTACACATGACACAAGGTTTTAGTGTCTTAAATTAAACTACTTTTTGTTTGTGTTATACCAATTAGTGTAGCATAAAATCTTAGCTAATAATCCATATTTAATAATATATAAGTTTTAAGTTCTTAATTTTATAATGCAATATTTTAAAAAATCCTGAATTTCCCCTAGTGTGACACACATGACACATTTTCTCATCTCTATTTTATCCACCCCCCAGAAACTACGTAATTAAACGTAAATTACTCACTATAAAATCGTCATTGCTAATACAAACCATAATTTTTATGGCCTTCAATTTTGTTTGGTTACAGAGCTATCAAATAGAAAATTGGACCAATCCTGTCACATCCTCTCTTTCAGGATTTGTTAATAGTTCTCTCTTTCATTTAATTATACATACCTATAACCAATAGAAAGTCAAGGTTTTCTTCTCTCAAATGACATAATAGAATATGTTGTGTTTTAAACACAGAATAGTCAAATTCACTTCTAATACAACTTTGGTTTCCACGGGAATCACAATGGCTAGCTTGGATGCATTTGTAATGGCTCTTATCAAATAGTTAGAAAGCCAGCAAAATTGTAATTGTTAGAGGAAGTTGTCTTCTTCTTGCATGTTATTAGTCTATGTTCTTTGGTGCATTATTTAATTAAGTTAAAAATTATTTAATGAACTACTACCATTAGTATAAAAAAAGTAGGGTTAAGTATTATCGATAGTCCACAACAGAAAAAAATACTCGGGTAAGTACTTTATTTCTTGTTTTTTTTATGTTTCTTCTTTATTTATTATTCTAAAGTAACTAAGATGTAAAAAAGGGATCTTTTTTAGGTTAGTTAAGGTTAGATTTGGTAAAGTAAATATAAAAGTAATAATATAATAAAAATGTTTCACAAGCACGCACACAAGCAGCTCTTGGGTAATCTAATTCAATGCGCTCCACATTCCCAAAGTGATTTACAATTTACAATGGCACAAATAGTAATTAGACATGGTTCAAAGGATAATCAAAGGGCAAAAAAATAATGATATTTAAGTATAAGTAGATGTATTCTAGAAAGAAAAAAGGGTAATTTAGATTTAGAATTTTCTTTTTGGTGGTTGGTTAAATTGACCAACCCTGTATAGAGTTAGGGTTGAGAAAATAACACATAATATATAGTTTTACTGAAAACAAACATTTGAAATGTATTTAGGGGTTTTTAGAGACTACGTAAATGAAATTTGAGATTTTTGAGATGACGAAAACTATGTTTAATCTTAACATGAAAATCACTTTGCACAGAGACTAGTAAAAAAAATACTTACTATATACACAGACAAATCTTTTTTACTTTATTAAAAATACTTCACTAAAAAGTATGATTTTTTTGTATGTGCAAGACAATGTTTACTGAAAGTGTGCCAAATTTTGTGAAGATATACATACTATATTAAAAGTTAGTAGTATCAAAACTATAACAACTTTAAACGAGTACAAAGAGATCACATGGTCAGGCAAATTGCCCTGAGCCCATGTTGAGAGAGTTAATTAGTAACAACAATCATACAGAAGAAATTAAGCAAAAAATATACAAATACAGTATGTATGTATATGTTAGGTCATACTTCGCATTACATAGTAAAAATATACATCTAACAAGCTCATGTAGATGGAAAGGTTTTGAAAATCATGAAAAATTGTATCAACTCCAACACCCAAAAAATTTAAAATGCTTCACACTTAATATCAAGATAATTCAATGTTGGCTTATCAGTTAGGATTGCATGAACCAAATCACTGCTGCTTTATCATTACAGATCGCTTGAATCAAGTCATGGTTAGGTTATCACAATTATTTGAACCAAATCATTGTTAGATTACCATTTGGGATTGTTTGGAAAACTTGAACTTTTTAATCAAAGATATATTTAAACCATTAAAAAATACAAATATTAATGGAAATTATGCTTTGCAGTTAAAATGCCAATAACAACAAAAATACTCATTTCCTTACACCCTCACAATTCATACAAACCTAGGTTGGCCTAATGCTCCTGAATCTTCATCTCCCTCACTCCCACTAAAATGATAAACTTCCTGAGATTCCACTGTAAATAAAACATGTTAAGCTATTATTACAAGTAAGCATTTTAAAACTAAAACTGGAAATTTGTTTAAAATAATTCTTTCATTCATGTTTCCTGACTTTTATAAATATACATTTTTTCCATAAAATATACAGTTCACTTATAACAAGTATGGTTGAAGGCAATAAACATTACAAATGACAGTTCAAAATATACTCACAAAATAAGAATTTTATTGTTAAAAATTTCCATTACTCCTTTGAAAATGAATTCAAGTTTACAGTTACAATACCAGTTATATAACTATATAAAGAACAAATCTGTAGTTAAAATACTTATACACCGTTTACTTAATAGCAACATTCCATATACAACTTTCAATAATGCTAATGAACTCTCCCAACAAAAGAATCCAAAGAGTATAAACATGTATCTCAAGCTTTTAATAAGGTATCACATTGTAATCTTAGTGCCTTTTAACAATATTTCAAATACAAAACAAAGTATAAAAAAAATTAGTGAGGGAAAAACATTCAAGTTTCTCCATTTTAGTTAGGAAAGTATGTTAACTTATGTCATTTTCATTTCTTCAGTGTCTGGCTCATGGATATTATGTTTTCATTATGAGAAGAAGCATAAGCAAAAAAACCTGATTTTTCAGAACAACAATGTAATGAGTGTGTGTTCATTCAGTAATTCTATACTTAAAACACTTTGGTTTGAAATATATTGAGGAGTTTGTTTTCATATAGGGGTATAAAAACATAATTTATATCAAGTATGCACTAACATAATAATGCAGTTCGAGTTACAGCATCTATAAATACATGAATGACACATATGCTGCTTCTTTATTTAGAATGAAAATGTTCACACACTGCAGATGTGGGTCACAAGTTTACTCATGTTTCGTGCAGAGCGTCTTTATATGCAATTTATTAAAATGTTGTATTCAAAAGGATTCGGAGGCATTTTATTTTGTTGCGGATGGTTATTATTTTTCTGATTTTTGCTTACAATACCCATATATTTCATAAATGGCTTCTCGCATAAAATATAACATGTTGAGTGAAGATAAGATAATTACTGAACTATTTGATGATAATTTGTCAGATCTTCCAAGTGAAGGTGAAGATTCTGATGTGGAGGTGCTTGTGGAATCATTCTGACAATGACTAGCTACAGTGATGTTGTTAGATCTACAAAGATACATAAAGTTGTTGTGCTCTCAACTGATCCTGAATCAGAAAGAGATGATGATTCTACAGATATTCCTGTTAGTGATTTGTTTTCTCATTGTGATAATGATAATTGGTAAGAAATAGATATTCTACCAAACTTGGAAATGTTTGAAGGAAATCCAAGGGTCATTACAACTCCATTGGAACCCGAAGGTATTGCTGCCGTGACAAGTCTAATGTTTGGTGATGACTTGTTTGAAATGTTTGTCAGGAAATGTGTACTTACCATAATCAAACTGCAGAGAAACATAAAATGTCATTAAAGGACTTCAATGGTCTGAAGTTACACCTACAGACATGAGGAAATTCCTAGGCCTTATTCTACTAATGGGACAGACAAGGAAATGTAACTGGAAAGATTATTGGTCAACAGATCCTGTTTTGATTAGCTCAATATTTTTGCAGATAATGAGCCAAAACAAATTTGGCCATTTTGGCATTTCAATGATATTCAGAAAATGGATGAGTCTTCAGCCAGGCTCTTGAAAATTCAACCAGTAATGGATTATTTCCTCAATAAATTCAGGACACTATACAAACCAAAGCAACAGTTGTCATTGGATGAGGGCATGATTCCATGGAGAGGACGCCTAAGATTCCGAACATACAACCCTGCAAAAATTGTAAAATATGGCCTGCTGGTGAGAATGGTGTGTGAGAGTGACACAGGTTATATTTGCAACATGGAGATTTATACTGGTTAGGGGAAATAATTGGAGGAGACTATTCTTTCAGTTCTTGCTCCCAATCTTGGATTGTGGCACTATGTATACGAGGACAATTATTACAACAGTACTTCCATTGCAAACCTGTTCCTAGAAAATAAAACAAGAGTCTGCAGAACAATCATAGTGAATAGAGGGTTGCTGCCAAGCCTGAAGTTTCAAAAATGAAAAAAGGTGAAACAGCTTTCCATAGAAAAGGTGATGTTCTTATTTTCATATGGAAAGACAAAAAAGAAGTGAGAATGGTTTCAACCATCCATGACTCATCTGTTTCTACCACAGGAAAGAAAAATAGAATAACTGGAGAAGAAATAAAAAAACCTGTGTGTGTTCTCCAATACAATGCCCACATGAAAGGTGTTGATTGTGCAAATCAGTACCTCTCATACTACACCATTCTCAGAAAAACAGTGAAATGGACAAAAAAGGTAGTACTTTATTTAATAAACTGCAGACTTTTCAATTCATATATATAATCTACAAAGCCATGAATCAACAGAAAAAAATAAAATAAATGCAATTCCTACTCTCTGTGGCAAGAGAATGGATTACTGACAAAGAGAAAGAAGGCTCACTGGAACTGTAGAGGAACAAATTCGGTCCATCATCTGAAGGTAAAAGGGAGCCCCACATAAGGATCCCCCAAGAAGACTATCTGGTGACATGAAGCAGCATATTCCTGTGTTCATTTCATCTACAGAAAAAACGAAATTTCCTACCAGAGCCTGTAGAGTTTGTACTGCCCATGGGAAAAAAAGTGAAACACGATACATATGCAAGTTTTGTGCAGTTCCACTCCATATAGGAAAATGTTTTAGAAGATATGAGAAATTTACTAGGTGTTTTCATGTACATACTTTGTAAGTTTCAAATAAATAATAACAAATATAGTTGAGTTATGAACAAAATAAAATGCATCCGACTCCTTTCAAACTTGTAACCTGTCCGCAATGTGTTAGGATAAAATTTCTTTACTCAAAAAACAACAACAAATGTTTATGTTAACAAGGTAAACACTGTTCCTTTCAGTTCAAAACATTTTCAGTTTTGAATTTAGTTTATAGGATTTGATGCTGCCCTGTTTACAATATCTCTGCATAGTTAATTCCTGATGTGCCATTGAAAACACTTAAAACATTCTAGATGGAGCATCAACATGTTTCTATACTCCCTTTAAACTTCATCTGTTTAATAGTTATAGAACTCAAGTGAAATGTTTATATCATTGCTTTATTCAGTTTCAAACAACTATTTGTCATTTGTGTACAGAACCTCCCACTGTACAAACTTCCACATACTTTCAAAAGTGCTGAAATCTCATCAAGAACCAAGCTGGGAAGACTTAACACTCACCACATATTGTTCATATGACTTCATCTGCATTTAAATATTATAGTGTTTGATGAAATACGAACCAGAAAAGTATACAGACATTGGAAATTTAAAAACTTCTTTTATCCCATGTTATTGATCACCTTTGGATTTTCAGCCAACATGATTAGTCAATGACTTTTATGTATATTTTCTAGTAGATATTCTATAGTTGTAATATTTTTGAAAAACTGGATGGACATGACTATAATAACATGAACATAGTTTACATAATATTATGTTTCACATTTTATGCATATGTAAATATTTATACAAAATAGAAATTTATTTCCATTATTTACATCTTTCATTAAAATTTTTAACTGTATAAGGATGAATATTATATGTGGAAAAGTTAAAATAAGCAACATTCTAATAACTCACTAAGAATATTCTATATTACAGAAAGTTACAATTAATTTAGGATCTCACGAGAAAAACAAAACACATGTTGTTTTAATGACTAAAAGAGTATTACAACAACCACAGATTAGCAACATAAATATCTGACCTCGTTTGTGTTTACGGCAACGGTCAATATGTTCTTTCAACTGGTTACGAACTTGTCTTTCAGTGGGCTGGTCCTTAATAAATGGATGTTTTAATAACTGGTCTGTGTAAGGCCTCTTTTGGTAGTCCTTAACTAGAACTGTTTCAATGAAGCTGTGAAACTTCTTAGACCATTTCTTGGACTTCAGACGTGGTGGACTGTTTCGTGGAATTAGGAAAAGAGCACGCATGGGGTGCATGTCACAGAGAGCTGAAATATAGGTGGACAGAACTCTTAATTATTATTATAGTAATTAAAACACGAAATTTTCCTTCAACAGATCTATTAATATGATATAAAATGTAATTATGAATGTATATCTGTTACCCAAAATTATTAATATAATAACATAATTACTAAACATTGTGCAAAACAGTTTATCTTCCAAAGCTGCAGTGGCTTCTTTCATTATCTTAAAAGATATTCTTTTAAACAACTATAAAGTTCAACAGCATGCAAGATTGTATAAACATTGCACAAAACAGTTTATCTTCCAAAGCTGCAGTGGCTTCTTTCATTATCTTAAAAGATATTTTTTTAAACAACTATAAAGTTCAACAGCATTCAAGATTGTGTAAACATTGTGCAAAACAGTTTATCTTCCAAAGTTGCAGTGGCTTCTTTCATTATCTTAAAAGATATTCTTTTAAACAACTATAAAGTTCAACAGCATGCAAGATTGTGTAATATAAAACATAAGTAAGCCACTGGATTATTTTTTGTTTCCAATACTTGAACAGTTATATTTTCCCTTTTTTATACTATTTTATTGCTTTCATATTAATAAATTTTTAGACCTACTTCAATTTCAAATGTTTTCTATAATTGTTAAGTAGTTGGAGGCTTAAAGTATATATTAAATGAATGTTAATTTTGAAAATAAATGTTTGCAACATTGATGCAAGTTAAAGATGATGAAAAAAAAATTATCCTCTATCAGTGTATTTACAAGGATGCAAGGAAGTAGTTGTATGTTTAGAAATCCTGAAAAGGTTCTTAAAACCCACACGGAACTAGATAAATATAAGGTTAATCTAAAAAAGGAATAACCATGAAGGGTAACAAACTGAAAAGGTTTTTCAGCTTTCAACATTCCAAAAACTTGCACTGTGGAGTTTACTGGTATACAGTATGGGTAATAAAACACACTGACATTTCACGCCATAAGACTGTATATTCTCGGAATCACATCAAAATATTATTTGTATGTTAATCTAGCATTCTTATGCTTTTTTGCATGTTGATATTTCCCAAAAGTAATACTGTGAATGTTTCATCCAAATTCACTTTGCAAAAACCTAAAAACTGAACTTGAAATTGTTGCATTTATTTTGAGATAAGAGTTAAATCCCCATTTTCGTCAGTGTTTCTTCTAAATGGCAATATTTAATAAAGAAGTATAGTTATAAGCATCACAAAAATGGAAGTGATAGATTCAGACATGTTTTAAATCCAGTTTAACACTGTAAAAATATGCATGGTTGTATTTCGAACAGAGTCTCAAAGTATCATCACCACCCGTAAATAACAATGGAAAAAATTCCACAAAGTTTACACTGAAAGTTTGAACTGTACAATACTGGTTATCCCAACTTAGTTACATTTTGTCTTTTATTCTTTCACTTACCAGCAGGCATATTTGTACATTATTCCTGAATTAGTCAAATATTTTTAAATCCATTTTCTTTCAAGAAAGTATGCTGGCCATAGCATAAACCATGTTTGCTTATATTTAATCATTTTCAATGTAGTAAGATAGTTTCATACACTTAATATTTTTTACATAAATTATACAAATTTGATAGAGGTGTATTGAAAATCTATTTACTACATTGTTATTTCCTATTAAATGAAAGTTTGTTGTTGCATCCTCAACCATCAGTTTGATCTAAGGAAATACTCCTGTCTTAAAATAATAATAAAAACAACTTAGCACATAATAGAATATGTATGTTGTGCTAACATATACAAACAGTTAAAAATAAAACTATATTTACAAATGTCATACACATCAGCTGTGAAAACCAAACATGCAAGATGGGCAACAGAACTAAGCTGTAACAAGTCAAGATATTGTTGTGACATTTTTCAGTATATTTTACAAAGATTTTTGTTTTTCTAAATCATGCATAATAATGTAGAATTTTCTCACTTGTATTAGAACATCAGAAGATTATATCCTTAAAAAAAAAAAAAAAGAGTATCAGTTAAAAATTCAACCTGTGCAGCATCTGCACCAAACAGTTTCAGACATTTACTCTTAAGGCTGAAATAAATAAGTGTGTACCTCAGGAACTTTTTTCTGCTATCAAATACTAGTAATAAAAACAGTTATGCTACAATGTACTTATTTCTCAACTAAAATATTCTACGTGGTATTAAAAACAACGTGATTTGCTGATGCAATAAAATTTTTGATGTTTTACTGACAATACTGTAAAAACTGGTTTGGTACACAGTTAAAATCTACTTCATTTAAAAGTGTGATTTTGTTCAGAAGTTGAATCATTCAGAGTTGTGATTTTGGTTTGATGAAATATTTGTTGATGGCTGAAAACTCAGAATATGCAGAGAAAAAAAGTGTAGGAACAAGCTACATTATTGATAGTTTTACAATTTATTAATACTAAAAAATACTTCCCTTTATAAATTTATTTGAGTCTTTTTTAATACAGCTCATATAAATAACACTTACTGCAAAACCATGTTATTATTATGCTTCTCCAACTTACCAAGCATATATATATATATAACTATGAAGTACATTTTTCTGCCCCTTATCATTCAGTTATGATATCAAAGCCTCACTTAGCAGCAGAGATTTACTCACTGTAAAAAGCAATTGCCAAACATAATGGAAGTTAATTATTACTTAACTATGCTCATGTCTGCATCCTGCTGCTGCTCTAAGTATTCTACTATCAGACCTGTCCACATCCAAAATTAGATAGATTGTGGGTGAAAATTTCCAAATATTAATGTCTGTCCTGGTCCCACCCACAAATGGACCATACTTTCTATTATGCATACAATGGGATATTGCTTTTTTACACATACTGTATAATTTATTCCCAAGAAACTGCCATAGCAGCATAAATTTCTTCTTGTAGAATTTTCTGATTTGTCAATAGTCAACTGAGCATAAACATAAAACGCAAGCTAAATATTTGTGCTAACTACACAGCATATACTTATACTAACAGTTGATAAAACATGATAATTTATCCATTCATCACACTAACATTCTAACTAAAATATGAGAGATTTATCATTAAATGTGACTAGCAGAAGTAAACATGAAAATACACAGAAATCTAAATAAAACATTTTCAAACCAATTCTGTTATACATCAAAAATATTACATTGAATAAACTTACGAGGTTGAGATTCAGCCATCTCTAAAGCTGTTATGCCTAATGACCATAAATCACTCTGTAAAAAAGAAAAAAACACTTATGTTCTTCTCAGTCTGATGATTAATTTAGTTTTCATGATACTTGATTCAGTTGGTCAATTCATACATACTAAGCTGTACAAAAAAGTACTAATATCATAAAAAGCTTAAAATGGGTGGACTTATCAAATGTAGTTTTATACAGCTAAACTTAGCATTATAAAATATTTTTGATTAATTTTACAATGACCAAATACCATTTATACTCCAAACGTTTAAAAAAATTCAAGTATATGCAAAATTTTATTTATATTTTGTTTTGTATTTGGACTGACTAGACTTTAATTCTAAAACTCAACACGGTTGACAGTACTTCTAGTTCTCAACACAGTTGACAGTACAAAAATAATATCAGTAGCAAAATTATTATAAAAAGTTTTGTTTTTAAATATTTTACTGACAGCAGGTAAGTTCCATATATATATATATATATATATATATATATATATATATAATAATATATATATACT